TCTAATAGAACATTTTGAACTAATTAACATGTACAAAACCTTGGTTTTTCATTTCAAACATGGTTCTACTCAAGATTGTGTAAATAGTGACATCATCCATCCAGTTACTCTAGCTTTAAGAGCCCTGCATTACTTTTGATTCCTTTTTTAGCTTTACCTGTATTCCCCCAACTGCAGTAGCAAATCCTGTCAGTTTGATCCACAGCATAATTTGAATATCACTACTTCTCACCCTACTCTTTTATTCCAGTTCGTCTGTGTTTGTTAGTCATTTTATTTGAAATTCTTGGTAACTCCTCACTCTCTCCAAATTAAAATTCACATTTCTTAGCGTGGTGCATACTAAGGTCTTTATACGTGATATTTACCTGCTTCTCTGTTCTCATTTGTTCCCTCACTAATAATACCTTCATAGGAAGCTGTGTTCCAGCCATACTGTACCATTTATAGTTCCAAGATGAATCACACTTTTTATTATCATTGAGGTTTTGTATAGGCTGTACTTCCTACCTGGAGTTTTAAAAGGCTTTTTACTTTGGAAGGTTGTTAGATTTTTGGAAAATGGTTAGATTTACAGGCAAGTTTGAAAATTGTTAGGTTTATGGACAAGGTGCAGAGATGGTGCAGAGAGTCCCAGTGTCTTCACCCGATTTGTTCCCCTCATGTTGTCATCTCATGTTATTGTGGTTCATTGGTCAAAGCTAAGAAACCAGCATTTCTACCTGGAATTTTTGTTTTCCTTTAGATTACCTATTAGTAAACACTCCTGTGTCTTCTGTGAAACTGGTAATTTCTGCTTTATGTTTCAGTAACTCCTTGTACATTGTCATAGTACCGTACCTCATACATAGTCTTTGTACTAGAAAAGACAATTTCATTACTGCTTCATTTGAATAAATCTGTTTGGGGAGAAAAATCCCCAGTAATTCCATGTTTCAAATTTTAGAACAGCTACTTCACCACAGTGGTACACAACAGAGTGTTTCAGTGGATGTGGGGGACAGAACATTTAAAACACTCAATGTCCAAAAACCATTTATTTCCCCTAATTGTTGAACAGGGTGCTTGTTCATCAGAATAGTGTGTGAGGCGGCTTAAGTTCAAGGGTCACTGCTGTATGTGTGGGTGGAAACACTAATATTGGAGTGCTCAAACACACTCAGTACCCTGAAATGCTCATGAGAATAGGATGGCGGTACTAAGGCCATTTGAGGCAACAGCAGATTTGTCTTTCACCTGTTCTCTGAGATATACCATTGATGAGTGGAACATTGGTTAGATGACACTTAAAATTATTTTTTCCTTTAGGTTAAAAGGCATGCATTTAAGTGAAATATGTGTGCTTGTGATTCTGTTTTCTTTTCTTTTAATGAATGTATTCTCTAAATTTTTATTGTACATTTGTGTTTTCTTTTTTAGATTTGTTTATAATTCTTAATTGAGGAATGATTAAAATCAAAGAAAACAGCCCTGGCTGATGTGGCTCAGTGGGTTGAGTTCTGGCCTGAGAACTGAGAGGTCGTTTGTTTGATTCCCAGTCAGGGCACATGCCTGGGTTGCAGGCCAGGTCCCCATTTGGGATGTGAGAGAGGCAACCTGTCAGTGTCTCTCCATCTTTATCTCCCTCCTTCTTTCTCTAGAAATGAATAAATAAAATCTTAAAAAAAAATCAAAACGATTTTGTTAGAATTCTCGTTATTGAAATTTTATTTTCAGATCCTTAAATCATTGAGTTAACTGTTGATTAAAATAAACTTGTGATATTTACTTGCAATTTTAGATGCTACCAGAACCTATTCTTTTCAGTCTTGAAGGATCCCAGGAGCAAATGAATCCACCAAACCTACTGGGGCCCTTGTAATTAAGGATAATCCTGGTGGAACCGTATCACAAAATCCCTCTGAATTTAAACCTGAAGGGCTTGGATCTAAACTGCTACTGTCATTTCTGCCTTTTAATTATGAGTATAGTCAAGTAGCTATTCTAAAATTTGAAATGTGAAGTTTTTTCAACACATTTGTTTGAATAACCAATATTAAACTGGCAACCGCAGGGCAAAGGCTGACTTATTTATATTAGATTCTTTGAAACATTTAACACATTGGCCACAAAAGATGCTTATTTATTATATGTTTTTAGAGTAGGTGTTAGGGAATATAGGGATGGTATCTTCTTGGAAAATAAGAAAAGTATTGTATGCTTATTCTGTGCAATACTGTGTAATGGAAATATGTGTAAACCAAATAGGTCATTTTCAATTTTCCAGTGCTGCATTAAAATAATTGCAACAGGTGAAAATAATTTAAATAGTATCTTTGAAATAACCTACTATATTCTTTCAGTATTTTATCAATATACAAAATTGATTAAATATTTTGCTTTTTTGGTACTAAACCTCCCAAATTCAGTGTGCATTTTATACCCACATTTCAAGTGCTCAGTAACTATTTTGTGTCTGAAATGTACTGGGTAGTACAAAACTAACCCATTAATATAATTCTACTTAAAGCACTGTTAGTTCAGATGCTCCACACTTGGTCTGTGTTTAGATTTTACAAAATTTGCAGTTTCAGAAGTAGGTTCACATGCCCAAGTTGTTCCAAACATATTTAAACATTTTTCAATACTTAAATAACATGTTTTAAATTAAAAAAATAAAATGGTTAAGAAAATACAAATAACCTTAAAGGTACTATTTCTTACTAGGATGCTTTTAATAAAATAAACAAAAAATAAGATTTGGCAAGGATATAGAGCTGATGGTTTTATAACACTGTAAATAACTAAATACCACTGAATTGTACACTTTAACGTAGCATGACGTAGCATGATGAATTTCACCTCAATATAAAGATTAATTTAAATAAAATTAAAAATGTGTCTTTGTTATAGTAGTTTTACTGAAAGTGGTGAGTAGCAGTAATTGGCTCTTGGCTCCCTTTGGTGGACAGTCGTTTTATGGCAATATTGTAATCTGCAGAAGATGGGAACTTCAAAAAAAATTATTATTTTTTTGGTACTCAAAATATGTGTAGTAACTTTAAATTCTAAGAACCCCAATAACCATTAGTTGCTAAACTTCTCATGGTCAGCATCTGTAGCTGAATATTGTTGATGCAGGCTCTCTGTGGACCATGCTACTGATGGGATCTTTGTAGGGAGTAAATGAAATAATTAAGTTTGAAGTACTGGATATGGCTAATTGCTGCTTCTCATGGTTCCCATAGCACTCTATGCTTTAACCCCAATTGCAGTCCTTTGAAGTTATCACTTTATATGTATGTCTTGCTGACCACATGTAAGCACTTTGAGGGTGGGAACTGTATCTCGGTCATCCTTATACTTGTAGAATCTTGCATCGTATTGAGTGTAGAATAGATAATTGTCTGAACTAAAATCTTGAATCATTCCTCTCCCTATTAACTTAGTGGGCACCCTAGAATGGGCAAAGATTTTTGTTAGTAATGCTGAGGACCATTAGAGCCCATAAAATTGTTGCTTGCATATCCAAGTAAAAAGAATAATTATTGACACTATGTAAGGAGCTTGCTATGAAGTGTTTCAGCCAGCACTGGTTCTATCAGATTCTATTAACAGCTCAGTAAAAGTATGTTCTTGTCTTCAAAATGCATGGAAAGGATGAGTTGGGTTAAACATTTAGATGTGCAGTGAAAGAAGGAGGATCTCAAAGGGGGATAAGCTCCTTTTCACTTAGGCAGTTTTAGAGAGAGACTTGGTGCATAAAGTTAGGATCTCTATTAATAGAGGGTTGTATTGTGCTTTTAGAAGTTTAAAGTGGTAGAGTGCCTGTTGAAAGAAAGACCCTGGAAGCATGTAGATTTTTTTTTGTGGTATTAGCTAGTTAGAGTGTAATATAAATTAAAACACCTAGTAGTAATCTGATGGATGTAATTGTGTTTAACATAACAAATTTGCATGGTTGGAGTTTGATTGTCAGGTCAGAAACTAAATAAAGTGGATACATTAATAAAAAAGTCACCAGCAATTTAGTTGTGGATTTTGCTGTTTGGGGATCATTTTGAAAAATGGTATTTTTTAGCTTTTTAATTTCTTTTTAATGTGTTGATTTTGAGAGAGAGAGATCAGTTTGTCATTCAACTTATTTATGCATTCATTGATGGGTTCCTGTATGTCCTGTCTGGGGGTTAAACCCACAACCTTGGTGTATTGGGATAGTGTTCCAACCAACTGAGCTACCTGGCCAGGGCAAATGGTGCTTGTTTTAGTTAACATTTCATGTGTTAGAAGACCTGCAAATATTATTTCCTAAGGTTTAACTTAGAAATCACACATTTGTTCCTTAGCTAATTTTGTATTGTAGTTTTAGTGCCATCCAAGCATTCTATTCTACATTTATTGTTGGAATAGCACATCATCCACCAGGTTGACTTAAATAGTTAGCCGTTGGTTTTCTCAATCTTGAAAGTGCAGAAAGCTAGAGAGGCAGTATTTAGTGGAACTTGCAGAGGGTTGCATAAGATCGATTCTGAGCATAAGTCTTCTCTGAGAGGCTAGCTCTAATAGTTTAAATGTCATTAACTGTATTTGTTCTCCGTTAGAACAGTAGGGAGGCTGCTGGAGATTTTGAAATAGCATATATTGTAAGATAAAAATAATTCTAAAAAATCCAGGGATGCACATAGTTGTCAGGATACCTAATTCTTGGATGTAAAACCTCTTTAAAAACGTGTTTAATTTGAAACCAGATTTTTTTGGGAAAAAGATTCCACTATGTTTGTCTTCCATACCAGAGGGAAGAGCAGTAAACTGGGGAGGCTTGAAACTTAAGTTTTATTTTTCAGCTGCACCACCACTTTAATGTGTGTTACTTTGGGCAACTTATAAAATGAAAGAGTTCTGGAATTAGTTCTGTAGCATTACCAATTTACTTCTGAAAAAAAAAAAAAAGATATTCACTCACTCATATTGTGCTTGTTTCCTACTTAGCATCCCTGACATCCTTTTTTATTTTTATTTAGTGTGTTGTTGGTGGCTGCAATGCCAGCTTTGCTTCTCAGGGAGGGCTAGCTCGCCATGTACCTACACACTTCAGTCAGCAGAACTCCTCAAAAGTTTCTAGCCAGCCAAAGGCCAAAGAAGAATCCCCTTCTAAAGCTGGAATGAACAAAAGGAGGAAATTAAAGAACAAAAGACGACGCTCATTACGTAAGTGTTTCTTTGAAAACCTGAGTATTACAATGCTTTTGTTTATATCTTGGGCTTTTATGCAAATTCAGTTTTTACTGTTCTTCAATTTAGCTTATCTATTTTTGTTAACAGTAACAAACAGGTTACCTGTAGGACAATGTGAGAATTCAGGGATGAAGTTTTATCTGTAGTAGCTAAGAGAGTGTGAGTATATATGGTCTTAGAATACAGACTGCATAGAATTAGATTTTGAGGGCTACTTTGATTTCATCCTAAATGAAGAAAATTTAAAACATGGCAGTGTTGGTGTTTCTGACAGTATTTCAAAGAAATTGAGCATGCTAAAAGTAAAAATCAAGTAAAAGTTAAGTAACCTATCTGCTCTAAAGTGATGTGTGTGTGAATAAGAAAATTACTTGCAGTCTCTGTTTCAGCACTTACTGGTCTCTCGTAACACACAAACAGTTGTTATGTGCTTAGTTATCAGGTTACGACGAGGTGTGTCCTCAATAATTAGGATAGAACACAATTAGATTATAAGACTTGTAAATGTTGGGAGCAGGAATTGACTTTGAAACCCCAGAGCCTAGCACTGTGCCTGGTTCTTAAGGTTGACCGGCTGATGAAATAAATATACCTTGAATGAAGAAATATGATTGAGCAACGCTGTCATTGAAAAGGGAGGCCACTGCAAGAGTGAACTAGAAAGGGAAAAAAAATTGCATCCTACTTTTTCTCTTGGGATTTGAGTAGAGTGTAGAAGAGACTCCAGACACTAATCTACACTGTAAAGGAGACAGTTATCTCTAAAACATTGCAACTTTTTTTTGTTAGAGCAAAGCTACAATGGACAAATGAAAAAAAAAACACATGTAAAAATAAACTTTCCTAAACGCTCTTAAGTTTCTTTCTTGTTGTTGAAATAAAACATTTAATTTTCAAAGTTGGCTACTGAATTTAGGTTGTGGATCCATTTCCCTTTTGATTATGTGCCTCATTGGTTTAAAAAAAATGCTTGGGCACTCAGTTCTAACACAGGTGTATAGTGTATATGGATAATATTGTTAATGCACATTATCAAACAGTTACCAAGAAGAACTACTGGTAACATCGAGTTGATAAGTGGTACTGTTTCTTCCCATAATCTAATGGATCATGACACCTGCTTTGGAGACTGTTGTGCTGGTTTCATATTCATGATGTCTTAATGGTGGATATTAACATGGTGTTAAGGTTGGAGTAGGATAGAATCTGACATTTGAGGGCTTCTTTCATTATTGTGAAATTAATTCTAGTGATAACATTTGTGTTTGAATCTTGAATGAGGAGTGGTAGATTTGAATGATGTATGGAGGTTGGTTATTTTTATTTTCTCTAAGTGCTTACACTTCTCAGACAAAAAGCATATTTGGAGAGCATGGAGAAAGTACACTTTTCCCCCCAGTAGTCACAGATCTAATAGGAAGGGGATTTGTTTCTCAGCATTAGGTAAAATCATGACTTTTTCTCCTATAAGTGTTTTTTTTTCCCTACTGATTTCTATTGTCATTGTATTCTTAGTTTTATGGGTTTTGCTAGTTTGTTACTAGTTGGTATTTTGCTTATTTCCTTCTGAGAAAAAAAGTGCAATGATAATAGAGGTATCTAGGTTATTTTGTATATGCCAACTTGTGAAATCATCTTCCCACAACAGCTCCGGTGGATTTGTGTAGATGTTCTGACAACTCTGTGAATGCTGGAGATAAATTCATTCCACATAGTAGTAAATCAGAGCAGTGTGGCAAGTCAGCGACATGTAATTCAGAATGTGCTGTACCCGGAAATTAAGCCTTTTCTTCTCTTGTCAGTAAAATTTAATTTTTAATTACAGATGATAATATTAAATTATATGTATTAATAAGCTCCACAGTTGTAAAGCAATGGATTTATTTTCCTTATTTTGGGCAGTGTTCCAGTTAAGAATAAAAGTGACACAATTTATAATAATTTTAGTGGGATTAAAATTTAAAATTTAAAAATGTTCTTACCAAATTAAATCTTCAATGTATAACTTTGTTGTGATTATACTAAGGGATTGCCTATTCTGTGTTTGTGAATTTATTATTTTTTAAAAAGTGGTATGTGCTTATTAATATAAACTGCTTTATGACTTCATGGGGAACTTTTATAGGCATTTATTTTACTTAATCATAATCTATAGTTTTATCTCCATTTCACAAAAAAGGAAATAGGCTAAGGTAGATTTAAGCAGTTTTCCCAAAATTACATTGCTGATACTGGAGGAGTTGATTTAGAATTTTGATGAACTCATTGGCATTCAAAAATTTATCATTTTCAGCCCTGGCTGGTGTAGCTCAGTGGATTGAGTGCGGACTGTGAACCAAAGTGTCGCAGGTTCAATTCCCAGTCAGGGTACATGCCTGGGTTGCAGGCCATGACCCCCAGCAACCGCACATTGATGTTTCTCTCTCTCTCTCCCCCTCCCTATCTCCCTCCTTTCCCTCTCTAAAAATAAATAATAAATAAAAAATCTTTTAAAAAATGTATCATTTTCTTAGATTGTTTTTAGAAGTTATTTATAATCAAGAAAATACTTGGAAAATCCCCAAAAAATATTACCACTGTCAAATTTGGAAAAATTTTGATTACATATTAGTATAGAATGTTCATGAAGTGCATTCCATATGTTTGGTTGTGGTGAATGAGGTCTCAGTGTGGTGCGCTGGTGGAGATGGTTGTCCGATTGGTGAAAATGTAGAGTGTTGCTCAGGAGAGGTAGTGGAATGAAATATAAAACTATAAAAATGATAGCAGCTGAAATGTGCAGTCATAAGGTCTGAAGGTAGAACCTTATTCACTAAGGGGCCACATTAACCCACATTCACTTGTTAGTTGGAATTCATCTTTTGTACATTATTGTCAGCAAGACTCTGTTTTGAAAACAAAGAAAATCTTGGATTTTAACTGATAGTTGATAATTATTTCTGTCTTATAACATATTTTTGTGGAAAATGCACTACATAGCTGTTTGGCAGACTGTTACATTTATTTGAATATACTTTATTTCTTTTGTATTTTCAGCACGACCGCATGATTTCTTCGATGCACAAACACTGGATGCGATAAGACATCGAGCCATATGCTTTAACCTCTCAGCCCATATAGAAAGTTTAGGGAAGGGACACAGTGTCGTTTTTCATAGTACTGTAAGTGTTTGATTTCTTTTTTCAAATTATCTGTATATGTTTGTGAAATGTGTATTTTGACGTTCATAATCATTTCTATATTGCTCAAAATCAAAGAACATATAATTTAACAAAAAAGAACCTTTTGCTTCATCAGTGTTTTAAAATTACTTATGGTATATTATTGGTTATAAAGCAAATATTTCCCACAGTTGGATATTTTTATGATTAAATTGGATATATTTGTTTTCAAATAAGCTTAGAGTCCTTTTTATTTTTATATTTTATTTGTAATGTTTTCCTTTGTATTGACTTTATTGGGGTGACACTGGTTAACAAAACTACACAGGTTTCAGGTGCACAGTTGTACAACACATCATCTGTGCACTGTATTGTGTGTCACTGCCCCAAGTCGGGTTTCCATCTTCACCATTTATCCCCCCACTTATCGTCCTCCACCTACCCCTCAACCCCTGGCAGTCACCACAAAAATGGAATATTTTAGCCTTTAATTTGAGCTGTTTTGGCAGTTGGGCCATTAGGCATAGGTGGTGTCTTTTTTTGACATGGTTTCCTTCTTTGTAGAATTAGAACATTAGACGCCTTTTAGCTTACATCCTATGTGCTGTATGTGCCTTCCTTACATCAACAGAAATAAGAGAGTGGCTATCAAATTAAAGCTTTGTGAAGGAGGGACTTTTGTTCTGTTTTGTTCCAGTGATGTATCCCAGGTTTCTAGAATTGACCCTGAAGTGTACTCTAGGCACCGATTGTATTTGTTGAAAGGATAATATTAGTTAACACAGAAAAGAAAAGTATAAACTTTTAGAAAGCAATGCATAGGACATCTTTCAGTAACTGTGAGTTAATAGAGAGTTCTGTCTTCACATGTTCCTTGCCATTTTATTATCCTTTAAATTGTTGTAGTTTGGTGAAGGTAAGTTACTAGAGACAAAACAATTTTAAGACCAGACTCTTAGTGATTTGGATCCGTGGAAAAAGAGATTGTTTAATTTTGCCTGCTGAAATATCAAATATACTAAATTAAAGTTTTATTTTTATAGTTCAATTAAAATACACGAGAATTTAAGTACAAAAGGTTGATATATTGTCAGTATCTACTGGTTTGAATCTGTATTTTTTCTGTCTTCTGTAGTAGGTTCTTGGGGACATACTTACTTTTTCTTCTGTGTACTTGGATCCTTCCATTTCCAAGTTTCCAATTTTGATTTTGATTTCCAAAATTAAAGGCAAGAAATGAAAAGATTAGACACAAAGGAAAGAAAATCTTTTCTGAGATTGAAACATATGAGGTGTGAGTTTGGGTTTGAAGAAAGGTGTAACATACTTACAGTATTTTAAAGAACATTGGCAGTATAGTTAGTTATCTAAATAAGAAAGGAAGGGTTGGAAGGAGAATGAGAAGATTTGAATACAAGGTAAAACTGGGTGCACCTTGCTCAGCAGAGATTGTTGGAAGTCCTCCTTTGAAGTTTGATGACATAGGTTTATGATTTCGTAGGTCTATAACTGTTCAATGAGATATGCTCACCAGATCCAGAGTGTCTGGCATTTGGGCTAATTTGTTTATTTGCTTAAGTAGTTGAGTGCCTACTATGTGCCATGTATTACTGATGTAGCAGTGAACAAAACAGGTTAAAATAAAACAGTAAACCATGAGTACCCTCTAGTAGAAGAGATATGATAAATGATGAAATAGTAGGATTTTAGGAACCTAAAGAAAGGGAGGCAATAAGCCATTCTGTTACTAGGGGAGGAGCATCATAGCCAGTGGAAAATCAAGTTCAAAATCCTTAAATGGGAATATGTCAAATATTTTGAAAAACAGTGAGGAGGCCAGTGTGGCTGGAGGAAACGAGTGAGGCACAGAGCGTAGTAGTCAAGTCAGAGAGGTAATAGGGAGAACCTTATTGGACTAAGTAAGACCTTGGCTTTTATTCTGTGTGTGGTGGGAAGCCATTCAAGGAGTTGGAGCAGCCATGGTCTGATGTGATTTTTAAAATAATTTTTATTTAATGTAAATACTCACTTAAAGTGTATAATTCTATGCGTTTTGACAGTTCTGCTTAACTGAAACCACCACTATTGCAGTTAAAATGCAGAACATTCCCATCTCTCAAATCTTGTCTGTTGTAACTTTAGTTCATCTCTGCCGCCACCTCCTGCCTTAGAGAATTCACTGATCTGATCTCTTTCTTCTCATGTGGGTTTTAATGTGCTCACTTTGCTTTTTTTGTGTTGTGAGAACAGATTGTAGGTCAGAGAGCACGTAGAATGGGATTAGTCTTTCCAGTAACCCAGGTGAAAGACTGGAATGGTTCTAGTGGAGATGCCAATGAAGTTGGATTCTGATTCTTTTGAAAGTATACTGACAAGGACTATGGGTGGGTTGCATATCAGGTTTGATAACGAGGGGAAAGATGACTTGAGTTTTTTGGTTAAAACAACTGGCCAAAAGGATGGAGTGCAGCCCTGGCTGGTGTAGCTCAGTGGATTGAGCAATGCTTTGCAAACCAAAGCATTGCAGGTTCCATTCCCAGTCAGGGTACATGCCTGGGTTGCAGGCCATGACCCCCAGCAACTGCACATTGATGTTTCTCTCTCTCTCTATCTCCCTACCTTCTCTCTCTAAAAATAAATAAATAAAATCTTTATAAAAAAGGATGGAGTACAATTTATTTATTCATTTTAAAAATTATTTTATTTATTTATAGAGAGAGGGGGAGGGAGGGAGAAAGAAAGAGGCAGAGAAACATCAATGCAAGAGAGAAGAAACATCGATCAGGTGCCTCTTGCACATCTCCATCCAGGGACTAAATCTGCAACCCAGGCTTGTGCCCTTGAACACTTGACTTTTTGCTTTGCAGGATAATGTCTAACCAACTGAGCCACACTGGGTCAGGGCTGGACTTGCCATTTAAAATAGAGGCTGTGGTGATGAGCAGATCAGGAGGAAAAGGGAGTATTAAGAGGTATAATTTTAGCACTTTTGGTAGAGCTAAAATAGTGCCTGTGTCATGGAGGGAGTTTGAGCTCAGAGGATAGATATGGCTACAGATTCAAATATGGAAGTTTTCAGCATATTAGTGGTATTTAAAGGTATCAGACTGGATAAGATCACTTTGGAACTTAAGTATAAATAGAGAAGAGAAGAAATTTAAGAACTGAGCTTTGGAGCATTAACATTTAATAAGCAGTAAATCTGATGAAATAATGGTCTAGTAATGAGCAAGCATCTGATTAGGGAATAGTGAGTGGTGATAAAGAAGGTTGTATTTTAAAAAGCAAAGCCCCCAACTTTCACCTGCTTTCATTAGAGTAGCTCCTTGTAATAAAATCCTTCGGTTTATCATGGGAGGACTTGAGATGATCCAAAAAAAGAAAAAGAAAAAGAGAGAAGGAACTAAAAATAGTTGTGGTGATTTAAGGAGTCTAGGGGAAATTTAAAAACTGACTGAGAATCAAAATAGTCTGTGATGATGAAAATAAGTTTTCTAGCTATAGAAAGCATCTGAGAGGCTTTAAGAACATGAAACCTATGTTTGTCATAAATTAAAGAACAGGAATAAGTGACATTGCAGAGGTAACCTTGACTGAGGAAAAACCACAAAGTGTAGAGTGTAATCTGGAGAATGCTTTTTTCCTGGCAAAGGTGGAAGGAAGAGACATCTATAATGAGAAAAGTTCTCTGTTGGACACAATAGAAAGGAAAGGAGCTAGGTGAGCAAGTTCTTTGAAGTTCCATGGCTTGGGAAGGTTTTGTGTTAAACAGAATCACTTCTGTTAGCAGTCAAAATGTTTAAGTACAAATTTAAGTCTTCTAGTTACCAAATTTTTATAGGAAATAATCATACTGTTAATGAAACAATTAGCAGAAAACACACTTTTCTATGAGGTACTATCCTATGCAGTTTGCCTAATTTGTCGTCTTTAATTGAAACATTTTCTTTCAAGCCTTCTCCAGAAGAGGTCAGCAGATTCCTAGTTACCAGTCTGTTGGCTTGCTGTGCTTGGTTGGTTTGCATTGTTTTCATATCTTTGTAGAGGTATTTTGTTTTAGCATCTTCAGATCTGTCTTTGGGCTTTTTAATTAATCTCATTGTCAAGTTGATAATTAGGGTACTTAACTACAGATTTTTATATAATGGAGATAGAAGGTGTTTTATATGTGCCTAGAGTGCTATCGTTACTTAGTTCTAATGTGTTTTGAGGGTGACATAATTTTGTGGGGCTATTTGGAACTTAAACTTGGTGAAAACATTGATGTTTAGATTACTAAAACACTGAAGTGCTAATTTTGTTAATATGGAAGTTATAAGATTTGTAAAATATCACTGTGATCTGTTTTTATTTATTTAAGTATTACATTAATTTTCAGAATCTGGTAATGAATGACAAGTATATTGCTTTTCTTATACTTCTATAGGTCTTTTTGTTCAGGTTGATCCACCCTGTAACTTAGATAGATTCTTTAAAATTGAACCTAAACATAGATTGGCTAATGTTTCATTTACAATAAAACAAACCAACCAACAAGCAAAGAAACTCCCCAAAACAAAAAAATTTCTTAGCTGTAAATTACAGACTTTTCCCTTCTCAGAAGTATTTTTTCTTTACTGTGTATTCTTTAAAAATATTCTAGCCAGTGTGCATTCTTGGTTAGCCTTCCTGTCACGCCACAGACTTAGGAGATAGTAAAGTAAATAATGTTTTCAGTACCTTAACCAAGATAGTATGGTTTGTCTATTTGGCTGTAGAGACCTTCTTTAGTTCCTTTTTTCTGTTTTGTGAAGTTTTGTCATCAAAGATGAACTCGCTACATAATAGGGCAGAACAAGATGTGGTAGTGGTAATATCTGGTCTAGGATATGAACACCTAAAAGTTCTTGATTAAAATTAAAAGTACCTTGCACTGATATGTTAGAAAAATGTGTTGCAAATAATTTTTATGATTTCTTGTCATTACTAGGTAATAGCTAAGAGAAAAGAGGATTCTGGAAAGATAAAACTTTTGCTTCATTGGATGCCTGAAGACATGTAAGTATTTGGAATACTATGAAATTAATAGACTAATGTTTTTTATTAAAATCTTATACTAAAAAATTGCTAACATTGTTGGATTCAAACATAAATGACTTACAGGAATGAAACTAGGAAGTATTTTGAGGTTGTCAGGATTAATGACAGAATCTCTGAAAGCCCTTACATTTCCTGGCTAAAGGTATAATCTTTAAAATTAGCTTTTTATGTTTTTAATAAAAGTTGTAACTATTTGTAATAGAATGGGATTATTTTTAGGATTTTTAATGACCCTCAAGTAGTATGCAAGCAGCCTTAGTGGTCCTTTTGTTTGAATCATTTATTTAAAATATTTCTAAACATGTGTCCAGCACACAATTAATGCCATTTTATAGAAAATGCAGTTAACCAGCTTTCCAGTATAATTAAATTTTTCTTTGAACTTTAGTACCTTTTAGAGCACTTCTGACCCAGATGCTGCTTAATTTAGACTTTCAGTTTTAATTTTCTTTTTTTAAGTGTATTTTATTATGTTATTACAATTGTCCCAATTTTTCCCTGTTTGCTACTCTCTGCCTGCCACCCCCTCTTTTCTACAGCAGTCCCCTCTACTCCTGAATTCATGTCCGTGGGTTGGGTGGGCATATAGGTTTGGCTTCTCCATCTCCTATGCTGTTCTTAACCTCCCCCTATGTATTTTGTACCTACCAATTATACTTCTTTTTTTTTTTAAGATTTTATTCATTTTTAGAGAGGGAAGGGAGGGAGAAAGAGAGAGAGAGAGAAACATCAGTGTGCAGTTGCTGGGGGACTTGGCCTGCAACCCAGGCATGTGCCCTGACTGGGAATCGAACCTGCGATGCTTTGGTTTGCAGCCCATGCTCAATCCACTGAGCTACACCAGCCAGGGCAATTATACTTACTAATCTCTGCAACTTTTCTCCCCATTCTCTAGCCTTTCTTCACTGATAACTCTCCATGTGATCTCCATTTCTTTGATTCTGTTCCTGTTTTATTTTGCTTAGATTGTTTTCTTTTAAGATTTCACTTGTTGATAGTTGTGAATTTGTTGCTTTTTTAATGTTCACAGCTTTGATCTTCTTTTTCTTAAATAGGTACCTTTAACATTTCATATAATAATGGTTTGGTGATGATGAACTCCTTTAGCTTTTACCTTGTTTGGGAAGCACTTTATCCGCCACAGAGAGTAATCTTGGATGTAGGTCCTTGCCTTTCATCAGTGTGAATACTTGTTGCCAGTCCCTTCTTGCCTACAAAGTTTCTTTTGAGAAATTAGCTGATAGTCTTGTGGGTACTCTTTTGTAGGTAACTCTGCTTTTCTCTCACTGCTTTTAAGATTTTCTCGTTAAGCTTCACTTCTGTATTTTAATTATGATGTGTGTTGGTGTGGTCCTCTTTGAGCCTAACGTGTTTGGGACTCTTCGTGCTTCCTGGACTTGCATGCCTATTTCCTTTGTCAAATTAGGGAAGTTTTCTTTCATTATTTTTTCAAATAAGTTTTCTTCCACTTCTCCTCTGGCATCCCTATGATTTGGATGTTGGCACATTTGGAGATGTCCCAGAGTCATCCTATACTCTCCTCATTTTTTGAATTCTTGTTCTTTCTGTTCTGGTTGAATGTTTATTTGTTCCCTATGTTCTAAATTATTCATTTGAATGCTGGCTTCCTTCCCTTCGCTGTTGGCTCCCTATGGGTTTTTCTTTATTTCACTTAGTGTAACCTTGATTTCTTCCCTTATGTTGTTGCCTTACTCAGTGAGTTCTTTGAGCATCCTTATCACCAGTGTTTTGAACTCTGCATCTGATAGGTTGGCCATCTCCATTTGTTTAGTTCTTTTTCTGGGGTTTTGTTTTGTTCTTTCATTTGGGCCATATTTCTTTGTTTCCTCAATTTAGCACCCTCTCTGTGTTTGTTTATATGTATTAGGTAGAGCTGCTTTGACTTCTTGTAAAAGGCAGCTGTAAATTGTGTGTGACGGAACCTTAGGTAATCATCAGAACAGGGCAACCTGCATAACTGCTTTGTGGCTCTGTGTTGGGGGGAGGGCTCGGAGAGGGGACTGTGCTGCTGCCTGGCTCCTGGCTTCTGCCTGGCTGCCTGGCTTCTGTTTGCCCTGGCACTATCCCCGATTCCAGTCACTTCACTCACGTTCCCCATATGTGACTGGCTCCCTTCCAGCTGTTGCCCTGGTGTTGAATCCCAGAGTGGGTGGGTTTGCGTACATTTTAAGACCATGAGGGCCCTTTAAGTGATGTTTCCTGAAAATCATGGCAGTTCCTTCTGCCAACCCAATCCCCACTGGTTTTTACAGCCAGAAGTTATGGGTATTTATCTTCCCAGTGCTAGAACCCTGGGCTGTGTGGTCTGGCCTGGGGTTGGGATTGCTAGCTCCCAATGTATCTCCCAGTTTTTATCCACCACATGGGAATGTGGGGCTGTCTGTGCCTGTTTGACCTCTGCCTCTCCACCTGGTCTCTGTCTCTTTGCCCCTTCTACCTGTCTGGATGATTGTGGCTTCTTTAATTAAATCCTTGGTTGCTGGACTTCCATACAGTTCGATTTTCTGACAGTTCTGGGTATTATTTGTTTTGAGACTTAGTTGTAATTCTTTTTCTGGTTGCATGAGGGGGTGAAGCATGTCTACCTAAGCCTCCATCTTGACCAGTATCCAAGTTTAGTTTTTTTTATTACAAATTTTTTTCTTGTTACGGTAGGTAATAGAGGTGTATTATAGATATTTTGGGTAAAATTGATAAGCACTGAGAATAGAATAAACAAATGAATAGAATCAAATTGTGTATACTTATTTTTCAAAAATTGGCAACATGTAGTTAATATTTGTTGTGGATATTAAGTAATGTTTTTATAGTTCTCCAAACTCTTGAATGTGATCTGAATTAAAAGTTCTTAAATAGATTTGGGACTTTACAGTGCATATTAGTATATTGATATGATTTATCATATCAGTTTTTAAAAAGTCCTGTGACTATTAAACTTCTGTTAGTGTAGAATATATATACCACCACTCTCTCCCCCTTCCCTTCCAGGTTTTATGGAAATGCTACTGTAAGACATTTTTTGAAAATACCCCTGTAAAATTTATTTAATAAGCTGCTTTTTGCTGAACATTGAGGTTGCCCATGAGCTTTTATCATCACCAGTCCCTTATATAAAATTTTAAAGGGACTTACCTAAGAAAAAGATCACCCCTGGTTGGTGGTTCAGTGGATTGAGTGCTGGCCTGTGAACCATAGGGTCGACAGTTTGATTCCCAGTCAGGGCACAAGCCTGGGTTGTGGGCCAAGGTCCCCATTAGGGAGTGCGCAAAAGGCAACCACACATTGATTGATGTTTCTCTCCCTCTCTTTCTTCCTCCCTTCCCCTCTCTAAAATTAAATAAGTAAAATCTTTAAAAGGTTAAAAAAAATCAGAACTATGAGCAGTAAAATGACAACAAATTCACAACTATCAACAACTGAACCTAAAAATTAAAAAAAAAAATCAAAACTAAGCAAACAGCTAGAACAGGAACACAATCAGAAATGGAGATCACATGGAGGGTTTATCAGTGGGGGTGGGGGGAGAAAGGGGAAAAAGGTACAGGGAATAAGAAGCATAAATGGCAGGTACAAAATGGACAGGGGGAGGTTAAGAATGGCATAGGAAATGGAGAAGCCAAAGAGCTTAATGGACATGAACTAAGGTGGGGAATTACTGGGTGGAGGAGGGCAAAGGGGAGAAAAAAAATGGAACAATTGTAATAGCATAATCAATAAAATATACTTAGAAAAACACTAGAGGTTTTTCTGTACTGTTAAAGGAATATTAAAATCTATTAATATACAAACCTATACAAAATGTTGTAGTTTTTGATAGGCGTTGCCCTCCTGAGTTTTTACCAATTTCTAATCCCATCTATTAGATTAGATTATTTCTCTGGTTTATTGTCAACAGTGGCTAGTATCTTTCTTACATTTGGCATTTCTTTGGTTACAAGTAATATCATTTTTAAACTGTTCATATCTGTGGTGAATTGATGGTGGGTGTGATTCATCTGCCCTCTCTCTTTCCCCTAATGAGTGCTCATATCTTTCGTACTGATTTGTAAGAACTGTGTAAGGTTACAAACATTCAGAGTGGGATGAAAGTAGCTTTACTGTTTTGAGTACACAAAACAGACTAGATTCCTGTATTATTGTATTATTTTTCACACAAACAACTTCTGAACCTGTTTTTGCTCACCCTATAGTTCTGACACTTAATTTCTTTATGAAGAAATAATTAAAAACCCCCACCAAGTTTACACTTCCAAAAATATGTACGTGTAATTAAAATTCTGGAATCAAAGAAATTTGTTCCTACAAGAAAATTCAAATAAAAGCATTTTTATATTTGAAATTACCAATTTCCAGAATAGTAAGAATATGGACACTTAAATAGAATTTTTTACTTATTTTGTCACAAAGAAACTCGGTGTCTGATTTCTATCAAGTCAAGCTGAAGTGAATTTCACTCAGCAAGCTAAAAGGCAGTGTGTTCTAATATGTGTTTCTCAGTTTGATATGGCTTTGCCACTAAAAGTTCCTAGTGCATTCCCAAATTTGTGCCTAAAATTTTACTCTGCTATTTCTCCCCATTGCACTACCTAGATTACTGAGCTCCCTTGGCTTCTGAGAAGCTTGTTAAACTAGATGTCCCTATTGAACTAGCAGATAAGGGTGGGTAATGTGAAGGTAAATGAGGAGTAAATTTAAAATTAATGTTATTTTATGTATGACTTATTTTTTAATTTACAGTTTGCCTGACGTGTGGGTGAATGAAAGTGAGCGACATCAATTAAAAACTAAAGTAGTTCATTTATCAAAGCTACCCAAAGATACTGCCTTGCTTTTGGACCCAAACATATACAGGTAATTTAATTCCTCAGTCCATGTCTATTTTTTTTAAGATTTTATTTATTTATTTTTAGACAGAGAGGTAGGGTGAGAGAGAGAGAGAGAGAGAGAGAGAGAGAGAGAGAGAAACATCAATGTTGGTTGCCTCTTGCGTGCTCCCCTAATGGGGACCTGGCCCACAACCCAGGCATGTGCCCTGACTGGGAATCGAACCAGTGACCCTTTGGTTTGCAGGCCAGTGCTCAGTCCACTGAGCCACACTATCCAGGGCTTGAGTTGATGTTTTACTTCTAGATTGTTATCTTTAAGTCTCTAAATATTGGATGTAAGGGTAGGATTTATTTTGTAAGGACTGAATTCAATACCAAACATAATCTTGTTTTCTGGAGCTTTCTATATGGCAGTTATATCACAAAGATTTATAAATTACAGAATTGAGAAAGATAACATTTTGATAAAGTTTATGTGCCGCTTTAATCCCAGATTTATGTTAAGTAGTTTAATTGTAATATACATAGTATTTTGATAATAAGTGCCTTTTATTTAAGTATATAATACTTTTTGTAATATCAGACTTTTGTGGACCTGGGCATGTATTGCATGTGCCCTAAATACCATAAATGATTGCATTTTTTAAAACTTAGACTCTTCCCAGCTTTTCAAAAAAGCAGTTTATGTATTACTATGGTAGCTCAGACTGTTTACATTTCTAATTTCTGATCTGACCTTTGTTTCAGTATGCTGTGCTTATGGAGGTATGGGGTGGGGGGGCCAGGGGAGAAGAGGCCCAGATTTCTGACTATGTATTGAGTCACTTTGTTAGGTTCCTTACGTGCACTTCATCCTCATAGCAGCCCTGTGAAGTAGGTGTTATCTCTGTTTTACAGATTGGAAAACTGAGGCCAGAGGTTCAGGTGCTTGCCCAGGGTTACACAGATACTAACTATGTGACTGCACTCCATACTACCTCTACCCAAATGACTTACACTAGGGTGATTTCAAAACTGGTGAAAATGCTGAAAAGTGGCTCTTAATGAACAAACTTTCTATATTTTTAAAAGAAATATTAATATGTATTTTATGATAGGAATAGGTTGGATAAGAGTAAGATAATCCCAAGTGAATTTTAACTGTCTATAAAGAGACTATGTCCTATGCCAAATTTTGAAACCATGAACACTTCGAAGGTTCTGCTCATTTCATGGCTCAATTTTTTTAATATTATTCAATATAATAGGATTTTTATAATTTGAGGCATCTTCTTAATGAAATTCTAACATAATGGGCCTTGCCAGGTGGAAACACTTGAGAGTCTTGAGTTTTTCCTACTCCAAAAAGAAATTTTTAAAAAACATCTTTTGGTGAAAGTTCTAAGTACAATAAAATCTTGTTTTTTGTGTGTGTGTGGAATGAGCTAGGTTATCAAGAAATTAACTAGCATAAAGAACAGTGAAATGTCCATAAAGAAGATGATTTAGGGAAATCCACTACCACTAATGTGGGAAAGTCACTATTTAAGAAATAGTGGAATATTCTTTGTTTACCTAATTTAGGGTTACCTAAATTAGGGGTACCTAATTTAGGGTTATTTCTGCTTGCTTTTTAAAGGGAGTAATTAAAATTAGCATTCTGAAAGAGTGACGTTTTGGGAGAGCCACCCTGCTATTACTACTGGTTGTAAACATCTTAGACAGAGAATTGACAAAGGGGCATGAATCTTAATTATAAGATTAAGACTGACTCCAGTGTTTCTGCCCTGCATTCTACTCTTCCCCTCCAATGGTCTTCCTTTTTCACAGAACCAGCTTGTTTTTTTCCCTCTTCTTATGCTATATAGGAAGCAACTTAGATAATTTACTGAAAGTGATGTAAAAAATTATTCATGCTCAGAACTGATGTTCCTAAATGCATAGGAATTGCTTGTCTCATGTAATTCTACAATACTGATTTCATTCTTGAGTAATGAAGGTGTTCTTAAGACATGTAGGTACTTCTGTGGAGGTGATTTTTTTCTTTTAACTTTGTACCCAATCTTAACATTTCATTTTCAGTCTGAACTTTCATGTGTTCATGCTTCTGCTGTTCCACAAATCAGAATTTAGTCTACTCTAAAGTGGTGCAGTGTAATAGAAACACCCCCTACATTTGCTGTGCTGTAGCATCTTAACAATGTTTGAGATTTTGATAGAGAAAAGTTGTGAAATTAAGTAAAAAGGGAAAAAGCAATTCTAACTTGTTTTAGGAGAAATAATTTGGTTCATGCACATCTCAAAATAAAAGCATGGCAAACCTAAAAATACCTTAAAAAAGATTTAAAAGGATCTATTTATTTGAGAATTTTAACATCAGATTTTAAAGTACTTAGTTGGTTAAAGTACCTTATCTTAGACATGAGGTTGTTTTTAAGAAGTATACTAGCAGGCTATAGAAACAGGATTAATTAGAAGGCTATACTATGGAACTAAATTTGCATCTGCTATGTGTGAATGAGTGCTTTGGAAATAAATTTTAATGATCAGTGATCACATTGCCCATACTTTATAAATATTTGTAATGTCTCTTTTGTTGAAGTACCCAATGTATTTTTGATACAGTTGAATGAAAGATATTCCCTTTTTCTCTCTTTCTAGAACAATGCCGCAGAAGAGGTTGAAGAGGTAAAAATAAATAAATACATAAAAAGCAAACAAGCGGGGACACCTGCAGTCTTAGTCACTGACAATGGGTTTAGTACAAGTTGCACATTAGAGTCAACCCCTTCCTTTTTTTTTAATTCGATTTTTAGAGTAATATTTATGCTTAGTGTAAACATTCTGTGAATGAAGTAGGCTCTTCTGTGGAATATATTAATATATTACTGTATATCCACATTTTCATGGAATGGTGCTGTGGGAGACTGAGCAAACACTCTTCTGGCAACTTAGTGGAACAACTTCTTAAAGGCTTTGCATGCTTGCTGCTTTAAGCTGCTTCCCCCCCATAATGATTACAAGTAGTTTATATTGGAAAGAAAAGTAATTGCAACGTCTGCCCTTACAAATACCAAAAACACTGTAAGAATATTTGTCTTGACAGTGTTTATTGATTTGAAGTCATTAGGAAATACTTAGACAATGAAAATTATCAATTATGATAATTAGATGTGATTGGTTGCCATTTGTGTTCTTTTGCAGAACTCTGATAAGAAAAGTGTTCAATTTGTATTTAAGCAAACAGTGAACGACATTTGCAATCGACTAAATATTCGACTTTCGAATTAGGGCTGAAAATTTCTGTTAAAGAGTGTTGCCGTATGTCTGGTGGCTCCCTTTTCAGGACTAGGGTTTTCTCGTGGAGTACAGTATGTTAATATTTACCTATATAACTAATCTGCTAACGGTTTTTGAAAAACCTTCAAATATTTGAATAATCCTCATATTTTCATTTTAACCTACATAAGCCTCTAATTTTTTTTCGAGGAAAGCATTTGGTTTATTAGTTTTTTTTCTTAACGTAAGAAAAAGTATTTTTTTTAAAGTGTCTTCAAACTGAATCCTTTATGCACCAAAGTTGGTTTTGAAAAGGAAAATAAAATCACTTTCTTGCTTGGTTAAGCAAGAAGCCATATGGATTTTTTTTAACTTACAGAAATGGAAATATGTGTAACTTGTTAGTATTGTATCAAACAAATGTTCCATAGAGATAATAGAACATTGCTTGTAAATAATTCAGCAGATTTGTAATATATTTTTATATTATGAGATGTACTGTAGATGTTTTTCTAGAGGCATGAAAGTTAAATGTATATATTATGGGTAGAAATAATATTGAAGGATATTGTAATTCACTAGTGCTGCCAGAGGAATTGTTAATAAAGCACCTTCTTTAACAATAAATGTCTTTTTCAGACTTAAGGAACTATGTACTACTGTTAATATCTTGAAGAACAAAACACATTGAACATCCTTCCAGAAAGTCTTTGAGGGAGGACCTATACCCATAATAGAATTATGGCACTCATTTCTGACAGTGACCGTGAAGTCAATCATTTCCTTACTGTTGGAAGGACATATTGTAAAGTATGTGGCTATATGCAGTCAAACTGCAGAAAATACTCCTGATTGAGGAGTTTTCACTTTACTACAGTAATATAAAAACCAGCAGTTTTTACACTAAATTTTTTAAAGAAAGAATAGACAAAAATATAGAATTAAAACTTTGGTTCCAAAATGGGAAAGTTCCATGCTACATAAATCATTTCTCATTTACTTTAAAATATTTAAAAATAAAAACTATGGGAGACTTTATTCGTTAACAATGGGGTAAAGAGCTATATACATGAAATGAGTCATATAAAATTAAATGAAGTGCAAATAAAAGCACTGCTACTATAAGACATTCTGGAATGGTTGTTTAATAGGGTATTATCCATATGATCTGTAGCAAATGTGATTTTATTTTTAAAAAGAAAAGCAGTATGTTTTCTTACCTTTTATTGTTCTCCTTTGCTTAAGCACTTCATTAATTGCTTTTTATTCTGTATCTGCGAAGTAATCTGTAATCTTCTTTGTTCTTTTAAAATTTTGATTTGTTAAAAAATTGCCAAATAGAAGTGTTCCAGATATATAGTTTGTACCTGTATTTTTTATTTTATTGCCTCATGTTCTTGTAAGTCATTCTTAATTGACCGATGATTGTAGACCATGCCTGAGTATTTTTTCTAATAAAACAAAAACAAATCACATTTAGCTTCAAAATTGTAACAGTTCAATTACATTTTTAAGCAACATTTGAAATGGACATCTAATATTTTATTTTGGAGCACTGCAAAAAAAAATGAGTTTTTTCATTGTGTAGAAATATTTAGATGTCAGAATCAAATTTTATGGTTATTGAATAGCCTCTGAGTAGTCAGACACTCATGATACCTTGCTGCTTATCTGACTTTGGTCCGATACTAGTAACACACCAAAAACTACAGAATTAAAATGAAAGAGTATTTAACTTGTACGTAAACATTATTATTACATACCAGCACAATTATATACTAGCGGCAAGTAAGTGTGAACATTTTAATTTATAATGCTTACTGAGTGATTGTACCCATCTATATTGTCCCTCCTACCTCCCATATATGACGTACTTACAATGTGGCACCTGAAATACAATTAGTCCCTAACTCCAGATCCGTTGTCTGGTTGGGCAGTGGAGAAACCCACAGGCACACGCGTTCGTCTGGGTGCTGTCCGTGACTGCTCGCTTCCTGTAGTGGCAGAGTTGGATAGTGAGGCCTTTCGGCCTGCAAATTTGAAACATATACTCTCTGACCTTTTCAGGAACAATTTGCCAGTCTCTGGTGCAGTTGATAAAGATTTTGGAAAAATAAATCTAGACCACGTAACTTACATTTTAATGTAATAGTGTTAATCTTGGTAACATTAAGTTTCAGTGGAAGCTGTTTACTGTACTTTAAATATCGCTTTATTAGGTACCTGCAACAAATGGTGTTGTGTTGTTTTTACACTTTTACATTGGATTTCTTAATAGTTATTAATATTGCACCATTTGTGTTTTTGTATTTTGTTTTACTAAATAGGACTAAAATGAGATTGTGTAAATCAGATCATGTTTAAATCACAAGGCACATCTTGCTCAATCTAAAAGAACCTTGGAAGTGGAAAATATTGTAAAATTTAAAGTTGTTTATTTTTTAAATAAACTTTTCATATATAAATCTTCCTTAAAGTGAACACACATGACTTCTGAGTGTCAGATGAGAGAAAATGAAGATGGGGAGTAATTAACTCTGAATGCGTATTTTAAAATTTGGTCTATTTCTCATTGAAAGCAATGATAATCATGTCAGTAGATATTTGATTGTAAAACTTTTTTCCTTTCACAAAAGTGTTTTAAATATTCAAGTATTCTTAAAAGGCTAGAATTTGTAGCAGTTATTTAAATTCCCTTATTTGCTATTTGAATTTTTAATATAAGACTAACAAAAATTTTAGATATTTGAATAAAATATAAAACGGGAAAATATGGTTGAAGTCTTTAAAATGGTTTGTGGGGGGTGCTTTCTATAGTCACAACTTAAAAAACACGGTGTTCAGTACGTCTGCAAAGTTCTCTAAGAGGCAAACAAATTCTTGTATTGAAAAACTGATATATTTATCTGTATAACAAGGCCTATGGGTTGCAGACTCACAGGAAACACTAATATTTTTAGCCTTTTTAAAAAAAGGAGTTATTTATCATTTGATTGTTTTTATTTTTTAAGACAATTACATTTTGGGGAATATAAATGAAAAACTTTTCCATTCTAAAAAATGTAGAAACTAATTTTTTTAAAAGTATAAAATTTTGTTATAATTTTTTTATATACATATTTTTTAATTTCTGAAGAATCTTGCCCTGGCTGGTGTGGCTTGCTGGATTGAGTGCCAGCCTGCAAGCCAAAGGGTTGTCAGTTCAATTCCCAGTTAGGGCACTTGCCTGGGTTTCGGGCCAGGTCTGCAGCAGGGGGCATATGAGAGGGAACCGCACATTGATATTCCTCTCCCTCTCTTTCTTCCTCCCTTCTCCTCTAGAAATAAGTAAAATCTTCAAAACAAAAAGAATATTTGACCTAGTAGAGCACATTTTGCAATTTCAACACTACAGGTTTAATATAAATTAAAGTTTGCAGAGTTATGTATGTATTTTTGTCATTTCTAATGATCATGAGCCTCAATAGCCTTTAAAATGTAATGAAATGCTGTATTCTTATTTTTAATTTTTTAAAATTAAAAAATATGGTTACACAGTCCGGTTTATTCTTTGAATCAGGATTGTATGGTGTATAACACATGGTTCTTTTACTCTGAAAATTAAAAAGCGCTTGTAAGCAGTTACAGCAGGAATTGCACCCCATACTCTTTTCTAGATCAGTATTCTTTCTACTCTACCAAACTGCTTTTTACAGTGTGAGAAAGGAAATCTCGTGTATATTGTAATACCAACTATGAAGTTGTTTTAGTGTTACTGCCATAGCCAGTTCCTAGCTTGATACAAGGCACAGAATAGCTGCTGAAGTCCTTGTTGAATGAGTGTTATAGGTGAGTGCTTGCTATAGTAAGATATTTTGGAGAGTTGTGGTCTAAACACTAGTAGGATTGAAGCAACTTGGCTTAAGCCACACTGTGATAATGTTACCTAACTTCTCATATGAATCTATACTTGTTTGTCTGAATAGTCTCTATGCAAGGGGTTATTGATGTTACATTTTTATATGCTCAGTTTGTAGCGAAACCATTTTTGGTTTGTTTATATGTTCCTGTTGAAGAAAATTTTTTCAGAAATTTATCTCTGTTTGAATCCCCAGTAGGTATTTTATGCCCTGGGTTTTTTTTTAAGTTTTAGAAAAGTGTAAAGTTTTTTTTAGGAGAGTGTGTAGTTAGGGAACAACAATAATAATAATAGATTGTAACATATGAGCATGTACTCATGATAGCGGAGCCCAGGTCCAGGGTCCGTGGTTTAACACACACACTGCTGAGCGTCACAGAAGAGCAGGCCAGACGATTCCAAGCGTACATGTTGCTGAATTTTCTAAATTAAGAGAGCCTAATTATTTTAGTACTTGCATGTCTTTTTAATGCCTTTATAAGATTGTAATAAATGTCATTTTTTTGGTAGAAGAGAACTTAAGTTTCTCTGTATCTCATGTTTTTCAGGGGGTTATAAGGAGGATAAATGGTAATGGGTAAAAATACAATAAAAAAATAAAAATGTAATACAGAATAGTTAGCAGTTCATTGAGGATTTGTTTGAAACATCAGTAGTAAAGGCTTTCTAGCCAAAAGTAAAATTAAAAAATTTTAAAATATTTTAGTGTTTTTTTGTTACTAAAGTTCTAATTGCTGAAACAAAGTAATAGTATAGAATAAGGATAAGAGTGAAAGTAAGCACTAAACTGGTTACACTTTCCTGGTCTGGAAATTAATATTTTGTTGAATCCTTCTTAAATGTTTCTTTTGTGTGTATTTAAGTTGTTATTATATACCCATACCCAGCTCTAGGATTTGGCTTTTACTCAAGGCATGCATGTACAGGGCGTGACAAAAGCAGGTTACAGTTGTGAGTACGTGAAACAATGTATTCTTGTGATTCTATTGTTTTCTGTACAAACAACTGGAAACCTACTTCTGCCCCACCCTGTAGAGCTTTCTTACTCTTCGTTATGGCTAGATGCAATATGCCATACATCATTCAAGCATTCTGTATTGGTTGACATTGAGATTGCTTGCATGTTTTCTGTCATACAATGAATACAACAGCATCTTTGAAGATATTCTTGGAGAGAGATTTCTATAATGTAGTTTCTTGGAAGGGACTATTAGCTAGACTTCAAAGTGTTTGTGGGTTGTGTCTGTTGCAAATTTTGGTATTGCCAAAAGGTTTTCCTGAAATGGTGGTGCCAACGTAAACTCCCATCGCCTCAATGTGAATGCTCTTTTCTCGGCACTGTTCCAATATTTAAATTTTACTCATTAAATTTTAGTCAGTCTAAGGTGGAAAGTCGATTAATAGCATGAAGTGCCTGGGTTTAATTCTCAGGTCAATTGAAAACTGTGGTATTGGGAAGTTTTACTTAAACTCACAGGGCCAATATTTTTTAATTTGTAAAATGGCATATTATTTCTGCTTACCCAATAGGATTTGTTGTGAGAATAAAATGAGACGTGTGCCCATTGTTCTGAGTGAGCATGGCCTGAATCTTTACACTTTATGATCCCTTCAAACGCACTCTGCCAGTGGTCTTGTCTTGTCATTGGAAGAATATCATGTAGGTTCCTTAGTTTTTCTGATTATCCTTGAGTATTAAAAAGCCCTCCAGTCCTTTGTAGTCACAAAAGTAATTTAACACCTTATTTCAGTATCTCCTAATCCATTTTAATTGTGCAAATTAAAAGAATTTCGACACATGCACGTAATCATGGAAACACCAATACAAGGCAAAGAACACTTCCATCACCTCCCATAGGTTTCCTAATGCTTGTTTGCTGCCATCCTTCCCTTTAGCCCCGCCCCCAGCCCCAGGCAACCACTGATCTCCATGCAGACTGATTGCAATTTCTAAAATTTTATATAAATGGAATCCTACAGTATGTAGTCTTGCATGTCTTTCACTTAGTATGATTTCGAGATGGATCAGTAAATACTGTGAATAAATACTTTTTTGCTTATTTAATGATATTGAACATATTTCTGTACTTTTTGGCTGTGTTGTAAGTAGGTATTAGGGATGCTAAATTGTCTAAACTCTTCTGGCTTAAGGTTAAGATTAAGGTTAAGTATTCACTATAATACTTATCTCAGACTTTTGTCTGGGATATGATTGTGCAGCATTAAAGGCATTAGTTAAGGCATTTTAAAAACATTATATGTTTAATCATAATTTTATAATTCAGTCTGTAAGGTGGTGTGACTTAAAGTGGAATGTTTAGATATTTTATACTGTAAATGTTAGAACAAGTATTTGTAGCAAAGAATTTGTTGCTGTTGTACTAGGAATGTTATGAAGTTCACTGTCAGCCTAAATTAATTAGAATGTTAATGGAAAGATAATCTTAGCATCTGCAACTGCAACTGCATGCTCTAGATACTGAGGATTCAGCAGTGAACCAAATAAACATTCTTCATCTTACCGGACTTAGAAATGTGTGGATGGGAGATGATAGAGTGCAAATGAGTAACATGCATAGTGGGTCATTAG